GGAAAAGTTCGGAATTAAGATTGACACAAACCTTGGAAAAACAAGTGAGAAGGCATCAAAGAAATCGTCAAAAAATTGGTAGCCATCAGCAGAATATGCGCCGATTGGGCCTGGCAACATATCACGGCGGGAGACACGCCTTGACGAGCTCGGCTCCTGCGTAGCTGTCTGTGAGACGCCATCATGGCGTTCATGCTCTGTCCATTCTGTTGTGCTCCCATTGTTGCCTGCTTTCCCCCCATCCTCTGCTTTTGATGCATTTTCCTGGCCCCCTTCAGCACTTCCCTTGCTGGCAAAACTCGGCTTTGTATTATCAGCAGACCCTTCCGACGACGGGATAGGAACTGTTGCCTTCTCACCAGCTTGCTTTGATGGTTGACGAGCGCCCGCACCTCCTAAGTGGCCAGACAGTACAAGAAAAGGAATTGCTCAGCATGTGAATTTCCTTCAAATCAAAATCAAAATCAAAATCAAATGAAATTTTCATAATGAAATGCTGTGGGAAGGGGGGAAAGCTTCCTGAACAAGTTTTTACTGCCTCTGGCTCTTTCTCTAGTTTTCCTTGTATCACCCCTCTACCGAGTATTTTCACCTCCTCCCCCCCCCCCCCCCCCCTCTCTACCGAGTACCTGAAGAAGCTGTTACTGCCTCTGCCTCTGGCTTGCATCACAAATACCATTCTGATTTTGAATTGTATCTGTTTTGAGGGCGGCCCTTTTCTGCTTTTTTGTTCTCCCTATTTTAACGACTCAGTTATTTAAACTTCAAAGTTTACAAGTCACTGGCGGGCTGCGGCGCTGCCGCGGCAGGTCGGGCGGAAAAACAAGTAAGCAATGCTCGTCCAAAGTGAAAACCGCCCCGAAAGAAAAAGGACAGAAAAAAAAAGCCACCGGGAAGTAAGGGCACAGTGACACAGGGACATTTTTGACAGAACCCCGGCTGTGAATAGTCAGATATAGATGAAAAAAAGTAGAAGCGTGAGTGAGCCATAAGTTGCCCCGAGTCCCAATGTGAGTATGTGGCGAAAGGTCCGTAAGGCGGAGTGCGAGCGTGCCCTAAGTCAGTCGGAGTGTGAGTGTGCCCCAAGTCACCGCAAGTCCCAGTTCGAGTATGCCCCAAAAGGAGCTGATTGCTCGCAACTGGGGGTCAGATACATTCCCAAGAAATCCCAGCGTGGGCATGGACCAAGGAGCTGCCCTGCCGTAACTGCAGGCAGATGCATTCAAGAAATGTTGCAGTCCGATTATGCCCAGCAAAAAAACAAAAAAAACATTCGCAGAGGCAGATGCAGAGGCAGATGCAGATCCCGGGGTCAGATCCCCAGACCTTACCTAACCCATGTACAGTATCGAGTTGACCCTTGAGTGCTTGAACCCGTGACCTGTGTTTCGTGAGTTGTTGTTTGTCTGACGTAGGACTGTGTGGACATAGGGATTCGATCTGTAGACCTGTCGAGTAGAGGTCTTAGAGAGTTCCAGAAGTCGTAGCTGTAGATGTCGTGAAGGGTCAAAGTCGTAGCTGCTACAGTCCTGAGAGGTCAAGGTCGTAGCTGCTACAGTCCCGAAAGGCCAAGTCCACAGACTTCCGGAAGGTCCAGAAGTGGCCTTTCGCAGCTTGCTCACGTTTTAGGCTGAGGCAAGTGGGCAAGTGGGCAAGTGGTGGACCAACTGCAGTACGTTCGCAGTACGATAGCGGTAGGTTAGCAGTGCGTCCCCATGCAGACAGCGGTACGGTCCAGTCAGTCCCAGTCCAGTCCAGCAAGTACCATGGGGGACTGTGTGCATCCTGGGCCGATGGAAAGGGGCAGACCAACGAGTTACAGAAGTATAAATCAAGAGGCAGCGCACAGTCATTCATTCATTCCTGCGGAAGCCATGCGGAAGCGCTGCCACGGTGACTTGTGCGAGGTGGTCTGCAGAGGAGCCTGAAGTCGAAGTGGGCTAGAGGGAGTTAGCTCAGCCATAGCTGCTTCTAGAGTAGAGTTAGGTGGCGGCCACAGCTGCCATAGTTAGTAATAGGTGTGCATTCGTGTGTGTGCAGAGTGTGTGCGTGGGGTATCCAGGGTGATCCGGAGTTGAAGTGTGAAGTGAACAGTGGTGTTGGATACAGTGACAAGAGTTGCGATGTGTGGGTGCTGATGCACCATAGACTGTTGAAGTGCGCTTGTATCTGAACTGTGTCTTGGTTTCCATATCTCCAAGCTTTGAGTTGGGCGCTTGCGCCAGTGTGATTCACCATCTGTTTGTATGCACGTGAAGTGACGAAGTATGCGAGTCTGATTGCACTAGACTCCTAGAGCATGAAAATATACACCGCCAGTATGTCCTGAGAAGCCATGCGCCTATGTTAAAAAAAAAAAAAAAAAATCCAAAAAGAGGAATCAATCTTCCCCTAGAGCATGAAAATATACACCGCCAGTACGTCCTGAGGAGCCATGAGCCTATGTTACAATGAAAAAACAAAAAAAACAAAAAAGGAAAAAACACATTAAAAAAAAACAGAAATGTATCTTTCCCTAAGAGCATGAGGATATACACCTCCAGTACGCCCTGAGGAGCCATGTGTGAGGAATGAGCCCTCGAGGGGCCCTTGTCAAGCATGCACATGTTCTGGGCAGAGGCCCCCAGCAAGCCAAGTGCCCGCCTAAGTGAAGGCGGGCCTGAATATTCACTAAAGATCAAAATTCGACATTTTTCATATGTGGGTACTCAGGCTGTTGCAGCCCGCCAGTTGGTTGAGTGGACGCGTGAACTTCCCTAGGCTGCAATGTACAGTTTGGCCCAGGCCTTGGCAGTTGCGCCTGGGCACATAAACACAATGCAGGGCCGATACATCACCAAGTGGCCACAGGCCTACGCAAAAGCAGCACTGTTGATGTACACACCCCGGGTCCTGTGCAAATGCAGCAAACGGCCCACGTCTGGAGACTCAGGCCATGCCCACTGTAAAGGGCCCAGGCCCTCGACTGTAGCACTGGGCCTGGGCATAGGCACTGGGGCCCAACCGGAAGCTACTGGAAGCTCCCAGCCAGGCCACACGCAGCCAAGCAGAGGCTGCCACTTCCATATAGGAAGGAAGGCAGCCAGGGTCTGGCATTCTGGCCCACGCAGGCAATGCGGTCACGCTGCTGCGCTGCTGCGTTAGAGGGGCGCACAAGAGGTGAGAGGGGCTGCATGCTGCGTTGCGCCCAGGACGCTTGCGGGGCGCACAAGAGGTGAGAGGGGCGCTGCTGGGCAGCAGAGAGCTAGCATCCATAGCCGGGCTGCAGGGCGCTAGGGGGCAAGAGGGCAATCGGTAAATCAGGAAGGAGGCGAGTGTGGATGGACAGGGTCTGATGAGGGGAAACGAGATACGTACCTGGTACATGAGAGAGGTCCGCTATCGTGTTGATGTCATGTACATTGGTCTTCGAGAGTCGAAGTGAGCCTGTCGCGAGAATGCTGATGTAGGTAGGGTAGTGGAGTAGTGTAGGCTGGGCGCTGGGCGCCAGACAGAGAGGAGCGACTTTGGATACTGTGTTGGTGTGGCCTGAGGGCTTGAACATTGGCTCATTACTTCATTGTACGCTCTTATTTGGATGGAATCTCGGTGCATTCATGCTCTCTGCTTATACACGACCACTTGGACATCTGTGTGATTTCGCAACTTGGCTTTGAGTATATCGCTCCCACTCATATTCCTTGCAATTCGGTATCGGAGCTGGTTCGAGATCTCCACTTACCTGGCGCTGGTGACATTGTTACTTGGTGCGCTGACGATGCTTCTGTCACGTTCTGTGCAGTAAGGATACTTCGGCGCTCGCTTGATATAGCGGGGCCCAGGTAGAGAGGCCGGCCGCTGGAAGGCTGTGGCGACAGCGGATGTATGTATGATGATGAGAGCATGCTGATGTGGCGTTTTGGCTGACGTGGCACTGCATTGCGTTGTGGGTGGTACCAAAGCTATGACCGGTCATCGAAATGCACATCGGCTCAATTGGTGGATAATCTGTGGTTGGGGCCAGCTATCTCCAGGTACGTTGTTCCCTTACCTTATCTACACTCTCAATCTCTTCTTACCGTGAGGAAGTGAGTCCAACCTTGAGTGTCCTCTCTTTTGTGTGAGGAGTCGTGAGCGCTCTACCTTGAGAGACGCCATTCTTCCCAGTGGCGCATCTGGCAGGAGAGGGCGGTGCCTCTGAAAGGCCCTGGTCGAAGCACAGGTCACAGTCACCATGCCAACCCATGGGAGTAGTACACACAGGCTATGCTGCTTTGTCCCTTGAGGCTCTTTGCTGCACTGATAGAAGGGGTGTGCGGACTGACCAGTCCTTTGCAGATTTTTATCTAGACCGTCTACAAATATTTTTGGCAGATGTCTGATCTGTCCACTGGCTGTGACCGTCGTCCTGATTGCGACGTTAAATAATTCCTGAGGACCTTGGGGCTGTCCTTAAACTGCCTCTTGATCAGCCAGATCAGTCAGACGTAAGGCTCGTTGCACGCGAGGGTAAAGAACGGGCAGTTCTGGTCATAAGCATACACCTTGGGCACAAGGGTGGGCCGCTAATGCACACCTTAGACACTGCCGCTCGATGATGGCTACAGGCTCGTTGGATACAGGGGAGGAAGATTCCAATTGAGACAACTGGCAAACACGTCTAACCCATTGTGCATACATCTGCTCACGTAGTTTATTTTTATTTTGATTAGTTGTCTGATTGACTGCTGACACCTCACAGACAGCCTAGAGTAGGACTGTAATGTCCTACCATAGTCAATTCTTCTCAAAGCTTTTTGTAAGAGAACTAATCAGAGTTGATTTAAACTATGTGTTCGGTCCGTGTAAATCTTGTTGATACCGCTTGACGGTAGTCTAGATAACTTGCCGGAGATTAGTTTTATTGTTATTTATTTTTAGAACCGGTCAGACGCCTGCTGCGGTAGGTTCCAGAGTAGACACTAGTGCAGACAGCGTCTGCCTAGCCGATGAGTGGATCAGAGGATGGTGAACGTACAGCTGATGATAGAAGGCTCACTAGGTGTGATACGCTTAGGGTACCTGTAGTGTTCCAGGTCCTGCTACTGGGAGAAGAGAGAAGGCTAAGGGCCGAAGCAAGGGCCCGTGATCTTGAGACTGTGAGGGAAGCTCAAGCAGCTGTAGAAAGAACGTTGCCAGCAGCAGCGGCAAGCGCAGTAGCAATGGCTACCTCTGCAGCACCGTCTAGAACAACCTCGTCCGGCTTTAAGCTTGGAATGTCGGACACTAACGCGCAGTCCATCTCCAGTACGACAGGGTCCGGAACCAGTCAGATGGCGGGCGTGCAGTCCAGGGGATTGACTGAGCAGGCCCTGTGTTCGGTCCAATGTAGTCCACATATAGAAGGATGAAAAAATGCCTGTGGAGTCTGCCAGCA